TTCCTGGCACTAATATTTGGATTTTCAACAGCAGACGCCACAACTTTAAACTAAATATTATCGTTGTTACTTTCATGTCTCCTGGTAGTTTTCTCATAATTCGCATTTGCTGTTCATTCAAACCTTTCCTTCACATTTTCAAAACAGTGGGAATCTCTGTAAATTTGGATTATTTGCTTTGTAAATACGTGCTGCTAGCAAACATTTCCCATATTTTGCTAATTCTTAATCACTTGTAGCGATTTTAAGGTTTTTTTATTTTATTTACAAATAAATGGTAACTTTCCATAAAGACTTATTTATTAAACTCAAATATCTCCATTTTTCAGTTATTAATTTTTATTTTAAATAGTGTAGCTAGACAACTAATAAATTTAATAAAAATAAATACGTAAATCCGGTATTTTACATAAAAATGGGTTTTTTGCAAAAACTACGCAACTTAGGTATAGGGAAAGCTATTAAAAAATTGTAGGATCTACAGAAAGGCATCTAATGAAATCATAAAACATAGGGTGTTCTATTAGAAAAAGTCGAGATTTTTCAAATTTTAAATTATCAAGTTTGGCATGATTTTTTTTGCCCCCTGTATATCACAGATCAACTTTTTACACGTTTTTTGAAAGAGCCATCTTCACTCTACAGTTCCTGAAAAAAACATAATTTCTAGCTGTCACACAATCATAATTATGTCAACTACTAGAAGTGACGATAAGAAAAAAAAATTTAAAGTCGATTATCTCGAAAACTATCAATATTTTAATAGGGATCATAACACAAAGTCCCGTTAATTTTTCACGTATAATTCGATAATGCCATAAAAAACATAGGTTTCCATTTAAAAACATTAAGTTGGTACCTGCCCAGGAAAAACTGAATACCCTGTATATGCAAATAAGTTTTCATTTTGTGCAGCTCGGGAAAGTAGACAACTCTGTAGAAAAAAAAATTAAGTTATATCTTTTATTAACATGGATATTGGACTTACGCGCACTAGGTGGCCTCGGTGTAGGTATAGTAAAAATGAGCTTCCTAAATTAAAGAAAATTCAAAATGCAATTGCGGAAGATGAAGATTTGCCTAGATTGAGTAGAAAAAGTTTTACTGTGTACTACTTATGAAAATGCCAACGTCATGAAATACATATGTGGTGGATGAAAATAAAGCTCACGGTGTTACCTATTTTCCATTGTCTCCATATCAATATGAGCTAAAATGCATTGATAGATCTATATTTAATAATTTCTCTAAAATGATACGCCACTGGAATCGTATTCCCGGCACGCTCAACTCGTCGCACGGAATGAGTTACTGCCTACAATTTTGGGATTCTAGTATATAATAAAGATTAAAAAATTGGCAAATCATTACCAGCAGAGAGACCAGCAAACAGCCGGCCAAACGCGAGCATCTCAATAGAATTGGCTGCTTTGCATCCGAAAAAGAGCAGTGCTGAAACAATTGCCAGTGCGGCACACACTTTCAACACGCCTTTTCTACCCATCCGGTCGGCTAGAACTGATCCCCCAAGTGAACCCACTGCTGCGCCGACCAAGAAAATGGACACTATGGAGGACCATAGGAACTCCAGTTCAGTGTAGGACAATGTCGAGTCGTACCGTGTATACGAGCTCTCATTGATAAATTCTTTTATTACCTATAAAAATAAAATGGAGTAAAATTTACAAAGATTTAATTTCTACTCATTGATATGCTATCTATGGCTTCAATAAATAAACCAATTTACGAATAGTATGAAAATATTCAAAGTATGTGAGTATATCGTATCGTACATGATGAAAAAACCCAGGAACCAATTCAGATCAGAACCCCGCGCAGACATTACACGTATAAAGAAATGAATATCTCTCTGGACGTATATACAGGTTCGGAAAGTCCCCATGGTTCATCGGCCGTTACGTGAGAGCGATAAAGTAAGTCATAGAAATCCGTGCGATAGAGAAGGATGGCTATAATGAAAGCGTCTCATAGTCACCGCCCGTTTCGCCCTTCCACAAATAAGATCCACTTCCACTTGTAATTCAGCGACCGGTGGTCATCTTTGTTTTCGTCGTTTGCCTTTTCTGTAATAGATGTCACTACTTATACAATTCCGACTTCGTATTCCGATATGTTAATACAATCCGTTAACAGAGGGCAGCACAATTTGTCTAAGGTGAGGCGCAGCCCTAGAAAGAGTGATGCCAGATCTACAGATTTTTTTGGAATTGGGGAAATAGGGAATTTTGCTTTATTTCTTGGGATTTTTAAGTCATTTTAAAAAGTATACTTAAATAACAACTAAATGAACTTTAAATGCAGCTGAGCACTATACTCCATTTGAATAACTTCTCAGTAGGGGAAACAAGGTCACTAGATTTACAAACAGAGGTATCTACTAGCTACTGTAAAAAGTTTTCTTTGTTACGCGTTGTGCTGCCCTCTGTTAACGGATGGTATTAACATATCGGAATACCGAAGTCGAAATTGTATAAGTAGTGACATCTATTAAAGAAAAGCCAAACGACGAAAACAAAGATGACCACCGGTCGCTGAATTACAAGTGGAAGTGGATCTTATTTGTGGAAGGGCGAAACGGGCGGTGACTATGAGACGCCTTCATTATAGCCATCCTTCTCTATCGCACGGATTTCTATGACTTACTTTATCGCTCTCACGTAACGGCCGATGATCCATGGGAACTTTCCGAACCTGTATAGTAGGTAGGTACTATCCAATTGTTATTTACATTTATAGAACTACAGAAAAATAATAAAAGTTCAATAATTCAATTCTTATTCGATAGCATATTTAGAATATTTGAAGTGAATTCGTTAATGTAGCATACAAAATAAGTTTACGCAACACTGTTTAATTCAATTAAATTAGGCTTCAGAAAACATACATATTGGCTAACTGAGGGTACAATATGTTGGATAATAATTTGTTTATAAATGTCACCCCACCTTAACTAACTTATGTTTATAATCAGTGGCGGCTGGTGCGGGCAGGCTCAGGAGCCTTTAAAGTAAAAAAAAATCATTTAAAATTTAGTTCACGATGTAATCTACACAATTAAATAGACTAATCCTATGAAATATATGAAAAAGGAAATGTTAAATTTGTAATGTGGTCAATTTAACTTGACTTGCAAATTCGTTTGAAAAACTCTGACCACGTGGGCTCTTCGTAGCTCGCCTCTACATCTGCAAAGTGTTTACAGCGGTGGCCATGGTTACCGTCGCGCAACAGTGACGGAGACGGAGACGGACAGAGGATTAGCCCATAAAAACGGAGTTGGATTAGCCCATATTTACCATGCAGTTTGTGCTCTGTTTAGTCCGACCGTAAGCAAATGTGGTAATAGCTGTTCACCGCTTTTTTTCTTAATAAACGTAATTTGTTCAGGTATGGTGTAAAATTGTATTACTTACAACTGTAAAATTTATATTGATTGTAGCCCTTGCAATGTTATCTACTGAAAAATCAATGGTACGAGAAATACCAGGCTTTAATAAAAAAAGTAATTGAAAAGTTTACTTTGGACAAAAGCAGAGGAATGGACCTTCACTATAAAAAATAATTTTGCGTACATTTTCCCTATATTTCAATAATACTTGATATAAAACTAACCAATTAGATTATATATTTTTTTTACAATACATTGTACCTACATTTCTCCGCCCTCCATGGTACGGAAGTCAAGACCCGCCACTGTGTATAACCAAGTATCGCTTAACGCAGGATATTTGTACCCTCATTCAAATAAAAAGACATATTTAGATCTTACTTTTTTTCAGTCAAAACCAGTATTAAACAAAACCTAACCCATTTCCACACACAAACGAACACACATAAAAATGTATTTGTTAGCAGAGCTCATACAACTTTTCCGCTTACTAAGTGTTAGATGTAACCATCAGATTTTGTACTATAGTCTAGAATGCACATACTTGAAATGTGAGTGATTTTTAACGTCCTACTATTCAATTTCCGTAAAATTTAAGATACGCCCAGACAATCGCCCTTTGGTCTGCTGCTAGTCATAGATAGTCTCTAGTTCAGATGTATTTTAATCTCGATTTTTTTAATTGTCAAAAATTGCTCGCTTTTCATCACATTATGCGAAAGTAAAGTACGCCTCTGGAATGTACGATTTACTCGCGGAACTTAAATCAAAAGGTATTTTTTATATTTTATTTGATCTTTGCAGAGGCAGGAAAGAAATATTAATCCAGGAATAAACTTTTCTATTTTTTTTTTCTGGATGGAAAAGCAATATTTGAGTTTTTCTTTCGTCTGTTGTAATACTGAGATTTTTTTAATTGTCAAAAATTGCTCGTCTCATCACATTATGCGAAAGTAAAGTACGCCTCTGGAATGTACGATTTACTCGCGGACTTTAAATCAAAAGGTATTTTTTTATATTTTATTTGATCTTTGCAGACAGAAAAAAAATTAAGGAATAAACTTTTTTATTTTTTTTTCTGGATGGAAAATCAATATTTGAGTTTCTCTTTGGTCTGTTGTAATACTAACTGAAATGACTATTATTACTGTTTTATCACGTGGTAACTCTGTATCTGTCAACTATTGTCGACTACTGCCGAACTTTTACACCCCCGTTAGCTCCCTATCCAGTCAGACGGCACCCATACTGAAGCTTACTTTTGTGACGTCACGCTAACAGCGATCTGGCCTTGCTACTTACTTCTGCTGGTGTATTTACCACTCCAATGTTGTATCCCACTGGCAAGGACAAGCCTAAGCAAGTGGCGACACCAGCCAACACTAAAAGTTTGGTCCATCCTGGCCGTTCCACCGATATGTCCTTAAAATAAAAGGTGATTTCAAAAATACGTGAACAAACTCGGTTTCTGTCGCAAAAGTAAAGATATTCATTGTACACATGCTTTAAAAAATATATTACACTAGCATCAATTGAATGCGAAGAGCAACTTCCTTTTGATATTACAATTTAGATCGAACACTAAAAATAACTATAAAATTATATACCTCTAAGGACAGTGTCATTGTTGCTGATTCGTTTGGAACACATCTAACATACTAACACCACTTGCAAAGAGTTCTCTTTTATAAGCTATCACTAATCACATTTTTAATATTGAGCAAGAAGATCATTTCAATTACCGATATCTCTTTTAATTAAATTTTACATTAACTGGAAATCTAAACACTGATTAACGAAAAACTCATACTTATTATATCATACAACAAATTAACTTGCAGCTATAAAAAAAAACAACTTGAATATGTGTAAAACTTTTATTTTATCGGCACATTATATAAATACGTAGCACTAATTATGCTATTATGGTACAAAATAAGGTACTAAGGCACTCCAAAATAGTTTATGTAAATCCTACATTGTAAACAAAACGGTGGATGAAACTTGCAACATTTATTGACAAAAAAATTTGGAAGTTCTTGTGAAAAATTCGAAATATTTCGCCATAAATGTTGCAATGTTGCAGTAGTGTCCATCAGGAATAACCACACATTGTATTCCTTTTCTATCACCATAGCTTTAGCGCTTTAGGAAATGTTAGTGATTTCAAAGAATTACGTAAAAAAACAATGGAACGCTGCATTTTGGGGATATAAATCGCCCGTGGATATTTTTGATGAAACACCCTCTATACATAGCTGTTACAAATTCGCTTCTCACTACAGGGATCTCGACAACGGTAAGAGATACAAACTAACTTAAATGGGGGCAAAGTTGCGTATTCAGGGGACCAACATTATGCCTCTAAAAAATCAAGGCTAACGTGACTCGTTTTCGAAATATTTGAAAAAATACGAAATTTTGGAAATCCGTTTTTGTTTCATTTCAGCCTTGTTTGAGATGATATTGAAAAAAGAAGAACACTTTCTCGTGGCAACTTTTTGCCCTCTATTGAATGGCATAATCAATTTTTATATGTAACGTTTCGTCTCTCCAGAACCATGATCAACTTCATTTTTTTAAAATACGGCCTTACAAATTTTATTACATTTTTTGCAAGCCTTCATGACCCACAATACTGTACTGCCTCAGCCAGAACCAGATTCAGACGTTTTGTCTCGAAAAAATCTTCTTCAGTGTATTCATTCCAAATTTATCTAAATTTTTTATTTAGATTTCTTTGTTTATTGAATCATCGTACACTGTAAGTGTCATTAGACCCTGTGAAATCCATCTAGTTATTTAAACTATTACCACCACACAATAAAATAAAAAATTATTAGTTTTATTCCCGTGTCCAGTTATTTCTAGGCTTCTCGAGTGCTCAAAATTCAAACAAACTCCGATCAATTTTTTTTTTTTTTTTCAGGATATTCGTACAAATACATCTGACATGCTCTTTCACAGTTGTTTTTACAGATATAATAAATTCCAATAATATTACGCTGATCTTCATTTTCAACCTTTGCCAAAACGAAAATGTTTTTGAACATTTACTGAAATTTAAATAAATATGCATTTTTAAGAATTAATTTGTCAAAACTAAAATTGTAATAATCTTTTAATTTTGACGCAACAACTTATTGAGTTATGTATGACCAAGTGTTGGTAATAGTCAATAATAATAAAAGTTTTATTGTAAAACATGGTGGTAATAGTTTAAATAACTAGATGGATTTCACAGGGTCTAACGACACTTACAGTGTACAATAATTCGATAAACAAAGAAATTTAAATAAAAAATTTAGATAAATTTGGAACGAATACACTGAAGTTGAATTTTTCGAGACATAACGTCTGAATCTGATTGGGGCTGAGGCAGTACAGTATTGGGGATCGTGAAGGCTTGCAAAAAATGTAATAATATTTCTAAGATCCTATTTAAAAAAATTAAGTTGATGATTTTACTGAAGAGACGAAACGTTACTTATAAAAATTGATTATGCCAAAAAGTGGCCATGAGAAAGTGTTCTTCTATTTTCGATATCACCTCAAACAAGGCTGAAATGAAACAAAAACGGATTTCCAAAATTTCGGTTTTTTTCCAAATATTTCGAAACTAATCACGTTAGCCTTGATTTTTTAGACGCATATTGTTGGTCCCCCTGATTACGCAACTTTGCCCCCATTTAAGCTACTTCGTAGCTCTTACTATTTCCGAGATCCCTGTAGTGAGAAGCGAATTTGTAACAGCCTGTACTTGTCGTTCTTTTAAATCCTCTCTCAACTTTCTGATTACAACATGTATACATCATATATTTGCATTAATAGTTTGCACAATATTTAGGCCCTGATTCTGACCTTAATCAAATCAAGATTGCCAAGGAACTAGTGCATATTTACGCAACATTCGATTGTTTTTTATTTATTTTTTTGTGATCATAAATTTTGGTTTTTATTATTTTTTTTCTAAACAAAAAAAGCAAAGGAGATAAGCAGGGTAGAATAATATGTGAATATCCCTGTACATATAACGCCGACGTAACCATATATGTTGCATACCTAGGTATATGATAGCGTTATTTATAGTACCTTACGGTTCACGTAGGGGAGAGTAGGATTTATGTGTGCATCTCTTATTGGATTGGTAAAAATACAAATGTTAGACGTTTCATAGTTGAAATTTAATATTCTCAAACATTTTCTGGTACGTCAATAAAAGTTTTTTGGCAGTGACGAAAACTGCCTTACTAAAAATTTCATATTTCACAAAATTAAATGAACAAATTAACGCGAAATGTCTAAACGTATAAATAATAATAATTTCGAAATATGTTATTTCCATAAACATTCGTATTCGTTTTATTTATAGCTTAAATGTAATAGAACATTTCCAGGCTATTTCTGAATAAAACTAATGCTAAAGTACATGGTCAGTCACATAACACTACCCCCTGCTCTTTATCTTTTTTACATTTCCGTCTAGAGAAAAAAAGGTTAAAACTAATGTTTTCTTGCGATTCCAAAGAAATACATGGAAATACAATAGACTGTTGCATTTAAAAAATGTAAACTAAACTGTTTTGGTAACGGAACACCCTGTATATTTATCATTTTTTACATTTCTGAATTCTCTTTTTTTTTCTAACGACAATGATATAACACTGACGTACATTTGCTATATTTGGTTTGATGGTTTGTACACTGTTAATTTATTTACTGATCCTGCACATAGTCAAGACTGCCAAGAAAACAATGTGCAGCTATGTTTTCGACTGTTACATTTACTAAACAACTCCGTAATTTCTTTATCAACTGAGGGCTGTCAGAGAGAGCCGCAATTCAATGGCGTGCTAAGGGGTCAACCGAGACATACGTGAATAGCTGCCCGAGAATGCTTTTCACGTTTATAGCACATTATTATACTGTTGACGTTTACGGTGGTGTATTGTAGACAATTTAATTTGTTGATTTTCAATAAATAATGCGTACGCCTATGTCCTGCGGCTCAGTTATCTACCCTACTTATTATAAATGGTATTTTGTAATGTCTTCATAATTTTCTAGACAAAGTATGTCCATTCCAGATAGGTCTTAGTAATCCGCTCTTACGCACCTCACTGATACTACTAACTTCCTTCAATATTTCCTTCAAACCAAAATATTGTGCAATATGTCATGTCTACATCACTGTAATTAGAGAAACTACAAGAATCCAAAAAGCGACATATATACATCGGATTCCATTTAAAAAGCAAAATTTTATACCTTTGAAATGTAACAGCCGATTGGTTTTTTTTTAGTACATATGTATATTTCTTTAAAATCGCAATCAAATTTCCTAAAACTTCGATAATTACCAATTCTTTCTTAGATAGAAAGGCAGAAAAACATAAGAGAGGTGAATAATCCTGTACAATGCGCATAATCACGAACTTTCTACAAAATGGAACAATGAATAGAAAAAAAAATTGCGTCAATATCAATAGTAAATGCATTGGAAGGAAACATTGCTCAAGTTACCATACTCTCCCCTAAGTCATTGAAAATGTATGCCTGTGGAATGACTGAAAATACTTATCGTCCTTTTAGTAGCCTAGAATGCAAAAGTTCCTTATTAGAGGCAATTTAAATAATTATACACTTGTATGTTTATAATATAAATTATATAGTTATAAGTACACCGATTGTGCAATGATCTACAGTAATCGGTAATCAGAAAAATCTACTTTTTATATTGCTACTACAGTGAAATATTTCAATTAATGAACAACAGTAGTACTGTAGTGAAACAAAAATAGTATCATACAAATTAAGTGTTAATCATGATGATATCCCATCGGCAATGCCTTTAATTGCGCATTCAAAACAAAATATGTCTGTCTGCCAACATATTTTCGATTGAAAAGTATTTAGCTATCAGCAAAATCATATACTAATATTTCTTTTGAATCAAAACTTCTAAAACTGCGACAAGGTCATGCAGAAAAGGCACAACTGAGCCGATGCTGAAAATCCACCAAAACCAGCCACACTCCCAGCTGTCCAAAACCACATAGCTCAGCCAAACACAAGCCAATGAATGGGTTGTCAATGCTAAGCAATGTTAAGGAAAATTTGGTGTTTCTATTAAACTAAATAAAATGTTTAGCTCCTAAACCACCCCACACACGATGATGCAAAACTGTACAATTGATTCACGCCAATATGTCAGTTTCAAATTAGTTATTGGACTGACATATTTCAATTTGTGCACAAAAATAGCTGTTCACTGTCATGAAGATAAGAGTAGCGTGTGGTATCCACGTCTTTGGAAGATTAAAAGTTGTACATATATAAGTAAAAATAAGAATACTACCGGTAAAAGTCTTCAAAACTTCGGCTGGTAACTAGAAACCTTAATGTCATTGTCAGTCTGTTAT